GGCATTTCAATTTCCACTTCAGAAATCGTTCTCAAATTCAATGTTTGTATTTTGAGAACGATTTCCTTAGAGGAAATTGAAACATTAATAAACTTACTTTAACCCTTAATTGTGACTTATTCCCATGTAAATATTAATTATTCCGTTCGTTTTTCTCATTAAGAACATACAATTTGCCCATTTTTTTTCTCATTCATCTAGATTTAGTGGAATTGTAGATAATCTTATTTTTTCTCATTAGTTCCTTTGCTGTCTGCAATTTTCCTTTGAGGCACAATGATATTTCTATATTAAAGCAAGAGTTTTACATTTATGGTGCTACATCTCTTGATGTACTTCTCTAATCCAAGATCTTTATAAGATCTTTGGACACTTGATTAACTCATTTGTTAACAAATGGAGATAGAAAACCTTAGATGAATGAATATTTAAAAGTGATCTTAAAAATATAAAATAAAAAATATTGTCTAGCTAAAATTAAAGTATTGTCAATATTTTAGCAATAAAATTACCAAATGAATAATAGATTGTTAAAAAAGAGAAAATTATTTATGTATTTACATACCTTTATAACAGGTCTATTGTTAATAAACTTAATGAAATCAATAAATACTGCACAATCCTCGGTTTCCAAAAACTCAGTTACTGATGTGAACCGAGTGAGTTGTCTTCGCCAGTATTCAATTTCAACTACAGGGCCAACAAATTCATTTTCTCTTCGTAGTTGTCGAAACTGAACAAGGCACTACAACCAATAAAAAATCGTAATGTTTAACTTGTACTTAATTGTACTAATTGTACTTAAATGACAAATAAGCTCAATTAACAAAAATATTTAATATTATTACATATATAAAAGGTTACACAATTAAAATTTTACAAATCTTTTCATAAGCAGAAAATATTTCAGGCCTTCCTTCCGTACTATATTCTATTTTAATTGGACGTGGGCAATATTTTTGACCCAAATATTTGTTTACAGCGAGACCTACTTCTATGTATGATATGATCTTTAGCGAATCCATTGCCCTCACAAATGCGATATCACTCACCGTGGGGCTCCATCCTGCACGTTTCCGTGTCTTGCTACATGGACACCCATCTCTTAGCTCCACTACAGACCAGAAAGGTGAACTAAGGTAAGAATAAGTTTTTGACCTAGCACTTTGACAGGTAACTGCCGAAGTGCTTTTCTACCACTTTTCCAAATAGTGGATACATACCGCAAACTTTGGTCGTCCATAAGGAGAGGATGTGTACAGTTTACAGTTCGTTTAACATCACATTGGTTATGTGGAATGAGGGTAAAGTGGCCCCACGAGGGCTCTATTCGAAAACCTGGAGTGCAGATCAGTGACCGTTAGTGTACGCTCATAACGAGTCGCCGACCCTCGCTCGGACCATAGGATGGTATCATATTATCATCGCCAAGTAAAATAAATGCATTATTTTAAAAATGCCAGCGTTCACTGTTAAAGCACAGCTATTAACATCAAGCCAGGTATCGAACCATAGACTTGGACCATAGTATTCGAGCTTAGTATTTTTTCGACCCTCGATCCATGTACTCTATGATCGACACTACAAGGCGTTCACCGCCGATCCTTGCTCCGACCATAGAATCATATCGATTGCCAGGTAAAATAAATGAATTATTTTAAATGCAAGCGTTCACTGTCAGTTGTATGATCTAGGCGAGGATATCATGCGATGGTCTCCGATATAAACGTACTAACGAGGTGCCGACTCATGCTCGGACCATAGGATGGTATCATATTATCATCAATTAATCTTAGCTTCAGAACAATATTACATCGCCAGATAAAATTAATGCATTATTTTAAACATGCCAGCGTTCACTGTGAAAGCGCAGCGCTTAGCATCGAGCCAGTTATCGGACCATAGTATTCGAGCTTAGTATTTTTTCGACCATAGTACTCTACGATGCGCCAACCACCGACCGTCGCTCCGACCATAGGATCATATCGATCGTTAGGTAACATAAACGCATTATTTTAAATGCGAGAGTTCACTGTCAGTGCTATAATCTAGGCGAGGATACGACGCGGTGGTCTCCGTTATGAACGTACCCTAACAGCTAACGAGCACTACTGAAACTCCGGTCACAGCCAATATTGCGGCTGGTCGGATACGGCCAATTTTACATGGGTTGTAATGAGCTAACTCGCATGTGTTCGTTGCAGCGGCTCGCACCGACCACAATTAGTTGATACGACCAGCTTTCGGCTAGGCGGTCATTGCGATCATTTCATATGTACGCTTAAGGAATAAAACGAACGCGGACAGACACAAAGCGGATATATAAAATGTGGCCAGATAGTGATTTGAGTACTTGTTTTGTATAGGTCTGTTTAAAAATGTGATTTATTCAATATTTTTTACTTCTGTTTTGTTATACGATTATACACATACACAGCAACAGCTACGACCGTAACATTTATCTCGGAATAAAAAGAAAAATTAATGAAGCTGGGCTATAGGTGCGACCAACGTAGATGCAACATGCTGCTGGCCGGACGGATGGTTGCATTTTAGGTCTAACTCGGTGCAGACAAAATCCGATCAGTGATCGTGGCTGGAGCTGCCGTAGTGCGCACTTCTGCAAACCATGCATAAAAAAGTGGCTCCGAAACTCCGAAAGTATTATATCGCCGCTTGCCGGATGGCGTCCTAACTTTTACAGAAGCAACTTCATTAAAATACACAGAGTCGATAACGTTTTAATATCTTTCATATTTAGATTTTTATCTAGAAGTCACTGTAAGAGGCGGTACATCGGACTTTATCAAATGTTCTTCTTCTCCGCCCTTCTTGTATTCTTGTATTATTCTTTCTTCTTCAATATTAGCCTCCTAAATTGTTTATATCATCGCATCATCTTTTTCTTGGTCTGCCAATACTTCTTCGTCCATTTGGTGACTTCTCATGCTATTCGTACTATCCCATCCATTGCCATTTTTCTAATGTGTTTCTTTCACTCCTGTTTCTGTAGATTCTTGTTTTTGTGTCTTGTCTTAGGTGTTTGTTTTTCCAGATTCTGTTATTAAGAGATCCCGCAGCTTTACTTGCTTTTAAGCTTTGTTATTGTACTTCCTCTTTAATATCTCCGTAACTAGTTATATTTATTCCCCGATATCTAAACCTTGCTTCCTGCTTTATTATTTTCCCGTCAATTTTGATTTTATGTCGTAGTGGGTATTTAGATGTTGTCATACATTTGGGTTTTTTTTGCTGATGTTATCATACTGTATTTTTGGTTATTGTATTGAAGATATGTGTTATTATTTGGAGCTTGTCTTTTGTCTTGGCGATTAATGCGTCGTCGTCTACATAACCTATTTGGATTTTGTTGTTGCCCATTCTGTAACCATGACCTTTACAAACTGCTTGTATTATTTCGTTCATTATTATATTAAAGAGAAGTGGGCTTAACGAGCCGCCCTGTTCGACTCCACTTTATCAAATGCTTCGTTTTAATAGAGAAAAAATACATATAGAGGCTGCACATATATACATATTTCTCTCAATACATTATGGAAAACCAAGCCCTATCTTGTAATCATTACATTTCTGAAGCCAAACGAGTGTTCCCAATATTTTGCTAAAGTTTTCTAAAAATACTTTGATGTATGATTTTCAAGAATATCTGGATGAGTGTGGCTCATAATTGCTGCATTTCACGTCTCAGAATTGTAACCCTAAATATGTACAATAGCTACAAAATCGAGGCCAAGATTGGAAATTAAAACGATTAAAATGTAATTCTGATTAATTACATTTCATTGTGGTTTAATTCCATATAATATTGTAATATTTAACTTACACATACCTTACACATACCAAAAGAAAACAGTTCTGAAGCTATTTTCTTGTGGCATTGTAAATTAATTATTATTAAACTGGAATTAGCCACAATTAAAGATAAAAATACGTTTATTGACGTTTCAATTTCCACTTCGGAAATCGTTCTCAAAATACAAACAGTAAATTAAACAAATTTTGTTTTTTGTTACATAGTGAAAAATTCTTCAAATAATTTAATTTTATCTGACTCATTTATATTGACAATTCAGACAAACATTATGCATTTTAAAGTAGACGACTTTAAAATGATATTGCCAATATTGTTGAGTTGCGCTCCTGGGACGACTTTACTTATAACATAGTTCATTCGATTACATGAAATCAACTTTAACTTGAGAATATCCGTCAGAAAAAAATCATAGCATGTAATTCGTCTTTAAAAAGATAAACACATGACATATTGACAGTAAAATTCTCCTGTTAGTGATTCCATAGTAAACTATGAGGGAAAAAACCAGGAAAAAAAACCTCATAATACTATTTCGACATTGTAAGTATTTGTTAGTGAATTTAGTTTACCTTCAACAAACATCAAAATTCTGATTTTATATGTTACGTTATTTAAAAAACATAAATGATGTATCCTCTATATGTTACTGACTTACTAATACTGGTATTTTCTTATTAATAACTTCCTTTTTCAATATTGGTAACCAGATCCTACTACATTCTGCCGAGGAATTTGCGACACAATTGAGAATTTTACTGTCATCATGTCATGTGTTTGTCTTTTTAAAGACGAATTACATGCTATGATTTTTTTCTGACGGATATTCTCAAGTTAAAGTTGATTTCATGTAATCGAATGAACTATCTTATAAGTAAAGTCGTCCCAGGAGCGCAACTCAACAATATTGGCAATATCATTTTAAAGTCGTCTACTTTAAAATGCATAATGTATGTCTGAATTGTCAATATAAATGAGTCAGATAAAATTAAATTATTAGAAGAATTTTTCACTATGTAACAAAAAACAAAATTTGTTTAATTTACTGTTTGTATTTTGAGAACGATTTCCGAAGTGGAAATTGAAACGTTAATAAACGTATTTATATCTTTAATTGTGGCTTATTCCCAGTTTAATAGTAATTAAAAGAAAACAGAAAACAAAAATTTCAGAGTCTTTTTAGAGTATACATGTATAGTATTTTCGTAGTAAAACTAACCTTTTCTATAAGCTTTGACCAAACTCTAACAGTTAATTCGGATTGCGCAATCAGTGGTTTATTAAAATAAGCCCTTTCTCGTTTTTCCTCGCCATCGATTTGTTCTAGTATTTCAGGATCGTATTTAAAAGTCACTATACCACTTAGATCTTCTTTAATCCCTAAAAGTTGATATTAAGTTTTTAGAATTTTGGGTTTACTTAGAAAATCATATCAAAAAATTTTAAAGATAGCAAAGATTGTTGTACTGCTCATACATCGGACAATCAGATCCACCAGCATATTTTTATTTTTTGTTCTGTTCGTATAATGAAAAACTAAATAAATAGAATAGAAAAAGATACCGCACAATTATAATTCAATAACAAACAACACTAGATGAAATACTATGATGAGCAGTGGTATAATTCTAGCAGATTTATAGTAATTTCTGAATGTAGGGAAAGCGAAAATGTTACATGCTCTGCATAATGCTTTGCATGAGAATGTAAACTTTCGTAGAAAGATTAAAGAAATTACTGGTATCACAACGAAAGCACTTAAGTGCAACATCCATGAAGCATAATGAAAAGTTAATCTTGAATCAGGTAGAACTATGAAACGTATTAAAGAGATATGCTTAATTGTTATTTGGAATACAGAGAAGAGCTAGACAACCTGTCAACTGTTAAGAATAATCTGGCCCAGAAATTCTTCAATCTGAGGTTCAACAAGCTTTGAGAGCAAAAAAGAATTGAAAGAGTAATGGTCATGATAACGTACATGCTGAAGTTCTTAAAATATTTTACCCTATACATCTCATGTATTTATTTATTCCTTTAATCCAATCAGGTACAACTTATAATACTCTATAGCTAAATGTAAAAGTAATCTGGCGAATTAGATATTCTTTGCAACAATATCAATGACGACTTACAGATATTTCCCAATATTATTTTAGATGCAGGTAATGCAGCCATAAAAAAACTTTGCTGCTTCGAAAAACGATGATAACCACAAAAAAACAAATTTTGATTATCTAACATATCATCTGAAAAGACAGTGACTGAAGAAATGAATTGAATTTTTAGAATAAGGATAAAATTTTAGTCTTTTCCCATAATTCACTGGAGAAAACACATTGCACGTTTTATATTGAACTTAATAAATACTTACGGTCAAGGTATAATACGAACGCTTCAAAATCTCCATCGAAATTAAGTTTTTGCATTCGTCCAATTTCCGTCTTTGGTAGGTCTCCCCAGTTAGTCCAATATGTCACCACCGGCTTAATTAATTCTGCCAAAACATCGTAAGCGAGAACAGCAAAACTAACTTCTCCCAGTTGTGTATCAAAATCAACGAAAAACACTTCCTACAAGCCAGAATAATTTCAAATAAGTAAAGGCGTTCATACAAATTAAGTACAATTAAACGATTTAATGAGAAATACAACTTAGGTTGGACTGTGTTAAAATTTTGCGATGGACAATTAAGAAATCGTCGTTGTATGTCTACGCATTTGAGCCCTATAAATCCCTCGGTCCAGAGAGATTTATCCAATACTTCCGTAGAAGCGAAAATACCCTCTGTACAAAAAACTATGTATGATACTACAGGCCAACAATATATGACCTAGCTCATTTGACCATTTAATTCAAGAAAGCGATAGCAGCTTTTCCTATAAGATTTATTCTTTTATACATTTCGCATAGCCCAGAGGACAGAAAACAATATTATTATGTTGTTTTTGTTCATGGCCGCCAAGACAGGTGGCGCCTGTGTACGCTAACCACTGCGGTGGTGGAGATTTAGGAGATTTTCGTTGGACTTTCCGAGTTTTAATTTATCAGTCCAAGTATCTGATGAGGCTTGGATAAGCCGAAATAATTCATAACACTTTATTAATACTGATTTGAGCATGGGAAGTTTAACGAATTTGTCCTTATCCTTATCCTATATATATATATATATATATATATATATATATATATATATATATATATATATATATATATATATACATTCATTTCAAGAGACATTATAATTAATAACTTACGTCGGTTATATTTTTCATATCCAAATTTATATTCTTTGTTTTAAACACTGCATATGCCTTGTCTTTAGCTCCCATAAATGTACCATCGGTCACGTATAGACGATAAAAATCAACTGGTGCAGTGGCAGGAGCTGCGCCTCTTCCACTTTCTAATAAACAAAAAAAAAAAAGAGGTAAGAATGCACTGAGAATGACCTAGAACTAAAATTAATACTATTACAAGAATTAATAATAAACTCAATAGTCTTCTGGATTAAATCGCGTCGATTATTATTGCGCCGAGCTTTAGACTCTTGGTCTCCAATTTGTAATTTTGCTCGTCCATCGATTGGAGACCAAGAGCAGACAAACGCAGTAGAGGAAGACCACCTACACGTTGGGCCGACGACATCAAGCGTATCACTAAAAATTGGCAACAAAGAGCACAAAATCGTGAGGAATGGAGGAGTTTAAGGGAGGCCTATGTCCAGCAGTGGACGTGATAAATACAGGCTGGATGATGATGATGATGATGATGATGAGCTTTAGACATCCTCTGTGACTCTATGTCTCAGTCTACCGAGCCCCCAGACACTACTACAATGATTACTAACCAATGCATTACTACTACTACTGGGAACAGAGGACAGTTCATTTATAATGTCGATAATGGCGTAGTTTGGGTGGAGGTTGGCGTGGCAGTTTACGTAGAGATTGACACGGAGATTGGCGCGGGATTTGGCGCGAACATTTTTGACAGTAAAATTTTGATTGGCGCGTGAAGCGGACAGTATTTTCTTTATGAGATTTGTCCACGTCGAAGGTAATCGTATGCCGTCATCTCTTTTATTGAACAATTTGGTCTTTTTTCAATTTCTATAGCTTCTTGGATAATTCTTAGTTTATAGAAGCGGATGGAGGCTATGATTCTGGATTTTTAAGAATCAATTTTGTGACCTGTATGAAAACGGTGTTGACCTAGAGCTGAAATTGAATCGGAATTGCGAATAGAAATGAAATGTTCCGATATCCTATTTTGGATTCTACGATTTGTTTGGCCTATGTAGTATCTGGAGAATTTTGCACAAAGAATTTCATGAACTCTGTGTTGTTCATTTGGAATGGTGTATTGGATTGATCGGACAAAAAAAGAAAGTTTTTGTTTTATTGATGGATCAATATTGTCTTTGTTCCTCTTGATTTAAGAATTTTGTCAATTTTGTCAGTGACACCTTTGATGTAAGGAAGAAAAGCATATCTATATCTAGGACATGCAATTGAAAACGAAAAGGAAAATAAAAGCCTAGAAATTAAAAGAAGGATATAATTGTCATGGGCTGCTTTTGGTAAGTTGAGCTTCACTTTAAAAAATAGAAAAATCCCAATATACTTAAAACGAAAAACCTATGACACTTGTATACTATTAGTTGCAACTTGTGGATTGGAAACTATGGCAATAACAAGAAAAATGGCAGAACAATTAAGAGTAACTCAACGGGCCATCGAGAGGACCATGTTAAATATAAGCCTCAGAGACAAAATTCCTTACACCGAAATACGTCGAAGAACTAAAGTAACCGACATCATGGGAAAAATAGGGACATGAGATGGCAATGGGTAGCACATGTAACAAGACAAAGAGCAACGGAAATTTATAAATAAATGTTGAAAGTGTATGAGGACTCTTCAGCTTAGTTTAGTAAAAAATTGGGTTGCTGAACTTAAAGCTGGCCGTACAAGCCTTGAAGTCGATCCACGTCAAGAACGAAAACAGCAGCAACACCAGAAATCGTAGAAAAAATACAAGACATCTTATTGAAAAATCGTCAAGTTACTAAAAAAGTTTTAGTAAAAGCCCTAAGCATCCTAATGGGCAGTGTAAGCAATCTTTTAAGTATTGAGTTTCTCAAATTCCAAAAGTGCAAAAATTTAGACACCAACACTGTAAATTTAGCGGTTATTTTATTCTCGTAATTAGGAAATAGATCGTTAACTTCCTACGAAAGAAAAGTTTAAAATAATATTATATAAACGATATAAAAAAAAAACTTACTTAAATAATAGTTGTGCATGTCAAAATGCATTCCACTTTGATAGTAAAACAGAATAGCCATAGGTCCGTCTTTGCCAAGGAAGCTATTAAGAAGATCAAGTGGTTTCGAGTGGTCTATGATAAACTCCAGCACTTCGTTGGGTTCTATACCCAAATAAATAGCTATCATGTCACAGATATGTCGATGAGGTAGTTGCATCTCCTGATATCTAGCACTTCTAGCATCTTTGAATTTTTGCTAAAAAATATTTTGACGTCAACATAAAGCATATTAATTACATTGCAATATTTAATAAGAAATAAAACTTATTAATTAAACGTAATTTTCCTAAAATTGGCTCGTTAGAAAATAAATAAATTTCTCGAATAGGAAACGGAACTAAAAAGAATGCAACAGTTTGTAACGGATAGCTCATTAGACAACAAACTTAGTCAATCGCAAGTTTAGTCTAAATAGACATATATTTAATTAAACTTTGACGGTATACAAGGCAACTATCGAACACGGTGATTAATTTAATCTTGCCCAAGTATTTTCGATCAATAGATCATCTTCAGGGGCATTTGGCCGGTTGTGGGCTATCCGACATGAGTAGAATGTCATAAAAGTAAATTTGGACATAACAATACAAAATACAATACACAAAGACAAACAAACACTTTAAAATTTTTGAACAGGAGAAGCTACATGTTGTATAGAAGCCGGAGACTATTCTGTCTCCGGCTATACAACATGCAGCTTGTATATATTATAGCTAGGATAAGTTTTTTTGGAACTGAAAGTTCTGCTATTGCATTCCACATCTGATCCCTTTTAATGCTGTCGTACGCTTGCCGAAAATCTATAAAGACATTGTGGATAGTTCTATTGAATTCCCATCCTTTTTCAAGCAGCTGTCTTAGAGTAAAAGATCTGATGTATGGTCGATCTCTGTTTTCTGAAGCCAGCTTGGTATTCCCCCATGAAATTTTCTAGAAACGGTGTCAGCCTATTTAATAGGATGTTCGATAAAATTTTATATGCCGTATTAAGTAGGGAGATGCCTCTATAATTAGAGCATAATATTTTCTTATGTGTTACGGAATACGAAAAGCAGATACAGAATAGCAATACCTAACAATTCTAAAACTTACTAATTTTTCTTTGTAGGATTCTTGCAGAGCCAAGTAGGTAGCACTAGATTTAGTTCGTTTGGCTCGACCGTGTCCACTAGGCGCACCAGTTACTTGTCTAGCAAGACTTATTACCATGTGGAGATCAGACTCTGAGGGTTCAGTAATTTCAGCCATTGTGATATTTTAAATTATCTGTTTGAATAATTGTATGAAAGGGATCTAAAAATAAATTAATAATTTATTGTGTGAACTAAGCTGTGTCAGGATGGCTGAGAGAAATATGGTCTAAAGTAAATACAGTACAGCAGAGTATGAAGTGAAAATATTTGAAACATGTGTAGCGGGGGAAGGGAAATGAAAATCTTTTCATTTTTTATTCACGTATTAGAACTGCTCATGTTATTTTACTCAGTATAGGTCTTAATGTCTTAGAATACAGAATTGGACAGTATGGATATGGCGAAAGAAATAATAGAGGACACACATTAATAAACTACTTGAAAAGAGACAACTTTTTGCTATGAACTCGTTTTTTAACAAAAAATCACAAAGAAAATGAACATGGATAAGTCCCAACGGTAATACAAAAAACGAAATAGATTACATCCTTACAACACAAAAAATCATCATCAAAGATGTTACAGTACTGAACCGCTTCTCAACCGGTAGCGATCATAGACTTGTCAGAGCCAAACTCAGGATTAATAGCCAATTCGAAACAAAAAAGAAAATGGAAAATGTATCGAAACTAGATATGGAAAAACTTAAGCAATCAAAAGACGAATATAAACAAAAAAGAAGGGAAAGTATACTGGTCACTAGAGATTTGGAAAACAAAAATATCGATAAAATAAATCAGCTATTAACCGATACATTAGCAAAGGCGGGAAAAGAGGTAGTACAAACAAGAATAAAAAAGGAAAACTATGTATCCCAGGAAACAAAAAATCTCATGAGTAAAAGAAAAACATTACTGGAACAAGATCAGAGAATCACAGTAGATTACAAAGAGGTAAACAAAACTATCAGAAGGAATATCAAGGAATATAAAATGAGCGTACAGGAAGAAAAAATAGAAAAAGCAATTGAACAAAATAAAAACATAAAGTGTTTAAAACGACAGCTTGGAACCATACAAATTAATGATATAAAGAACAAATAAGGTACAGAGACCAATAATATAGAAGAAATCATACAGATAACACAAGAATATTATAAAAACCTCTACCACACAAAACAGAAACCAACCCAAGAAATCCTTAAGCAACTACAAATAAAAAAAAAATGTTAATTCCGACTTACAACCAGAAATCAGTAAGAACGAGATAAGAAGAGCACTCAAAGAGATGAAGAATAATAAGACTGTAGAAATGCTAAAACATGGTGGGAAAACAACTATAGAAGTTTTGTACATACTTATGAACAAAATACTAATGACAAAACAAATACCCAACAGTTGGAAAGAAGCAATAACACTGTTACTATTTAAGAAATGAGATAAAAAGTATCTAAAGAATTACAGACCCATAACTTTACTAAATGTGATATACAGACTATTAACCAAAATATTAACAAATAGATTAATAACTAAATTAGATGGATACCAGGTAAGAGAACAAGCCGGATTTAGAAAGAGCTTCAGTACAAGTGACCACCTTTTAACGATGAAGATTTTAATCGAAAAAACTAACGAATATCAAATCCCGCTATACATAGCAATTATTGACTTCGAGAAGGCATTTAATAGTGTGGAACACTGGACAGTACAAAATTCCCTACAAAACAGCAGAATAGACTACCGATATACCGACTTAATTACAAATATATACAACAAGGCAACAACAACTATTAAGAAATGAAACAAACGGAGCCTATTAAAATAAACCGAGGAGTAAGACAAGAAGATACCATCTCGCCCAAGCTATTCAACCAAGCGCTAGAAGATGTTTTCAAACGATTACACTGGGATGGCTTGGTAATTAACATAAACGGGCAAAATCTTAATCATTTACGATATGCTAATGATATTGTATTAATAACAGAAAAAAGAAGAATTACAAAGAATGATGGAAAAACTAGATAGAGAATCGACAAAAATTGGACTCAAGATGATAAAGAATTCAAAATACCCTACAAAGGAAAATATGGAAAAAATAGCAAAGACAGGAAGATCCATGAAAAGACAAATGCTAAACACTAAACTATCAGACAGAAAAAGAAACGAATGGATCCGCAATAAAACAAAAGTGAAAGATGTCTCAACCCAAGTAGCAAAGCTTAAATGGAAGTTAGGGACACACCCTAAGGCAGAAAAATGAAAGATGGACTAAGACAATTATATATTGAAGCCCATGGAATTACAAACGAAAAAGGGGAAGGCTACAAATGCGATGGCCAGATGACCTGAAGAAACACGCTGGGTCAAAATGGATGCAAATTGCCCAAGACAGAGAGGCATGAAAGAAGGAGGAGTAGGCCTATATCCAAGAATGGATGTTTAGGGCTGTATAGATAGATAGGTCTTAAAAAAATGCATACATAGCTATAAACTCAATTTCCAAAATTAATTAGTTTTGCTTTACAAGGCGTTATAATAAAGTTATAGCTAACATTACAAAACTAGTATACGCATAATTTTAAACAACAATAAAAAAATTACCTCCAATGACTCCTCTAAACTTGTTGTGTTCAAATTTCTCACATAAAGTTAATCCATTTTGTGACAATTTTTGACAAGTTTATTTATAATGAAATAATGACTTTCATGACTTAAATATAGAGCAGCGGTACCTAGATATGAAATGAAATGAAATATGTAGAGTATAGTTAATTTCTATATACTATATTATTTATCTATGATAGTTAACCTGCTGCTAGTCAAAGTCAAGTGTCACGTCAATTTTGATTAACTTAAATATAAAACTATTAACTTTATAAACCCACAAAAAAGATATTTCTCATATTATCTTATGTAAAAAGATATAAGCTGAACCATCTTTGCTTACTATCGTTAGCGAATCTTTTTTCGTTCCTTTTTTATAGTAGAAATAAATATGATCCTCTGACAGCATGTAATACAAACACTTAGTCAAGACAGTGATCAAAAACACATTTAACTTATCATCGTTGTCGCCATCACGTGTAGCTTATTTCCAGAGTCTAGAGTTGATCTCAGTTTTAGCATGAACCACTGCAATCCTGAGGATTAAGACTGGAAAAAGCATGAACACATTTGGATACCAATCAAAGATTTCAAAACCCCCCAAACGTCGGAAATTAAATTCCTGCAGATGTGTGATTGCCGAGAAGCAGGAATGAAATTCTCTGCATTATGTCTCTCTTGTTCTGTTGAAACCCCAAGTAACATTAGGGAAATATCAAAATTAATGGAAAAATTCGAAGAAGATTTACCGACAATAACGTCAATTCTAACTCCCGTTCTTCCGCAAACATTCGCAAGTACTTTTGCTTTCTAGAGCATCTTCAGGGGCATCTGAAATAAGCCAAGAAACGTTTTTTTAAACTAAAGAAAATTAATTTACTGCAAAAAAAAACCGAAGTTGATGATTGATAAAAGTTTTTTATGTAATATGACGTTTCAGACTTACTTCGTCAATTTTGGTCTATCCAACAATCTTGAATCTTCTCAATCTTTGAATGTTCTAAACATAATATTGTACATTAACACTACACGACTCAAAGACAGTTTAATTTTTTTTAAAACGGCAAAGCTACATATTGATAGGCATTAGGAGAGATCATGGCTCCTTGTTTCCTATCTCTCTATCTATTTAAGGATTTTTACAGCTGTCGCCGCCTTCCTTTTTCAGCCAACGTCTCCAGTCCTTTCTGTTCTGCCATTCTCCATCTCTAAGGTCTCGTCTTTCCATGGCCTCGTCCACTTCATCCCCCCATGATCTTCGGGGTCTACCTCTTTTCCTCCTTCCCATTGAGCTCCAATCCGAAATCTTTGCTATGCACCTTATATGATCTGTTCTTCTCACATTTCCATACCAAATTTCTTCGATGTAGCTGAGTATGTTTTGTTCTACTGTCTTTCTTCGTTTTATCTCCTCATTTCTGATGCAATCTATTTTTGATCACTCTGCAGCTTCTTCTCATGAACTCCATTTCATTTGCTGTGAGTTTGGACCTATTTCGTTTATTTATTACCCAATTCTCTGGTTTTTCTGTTAATCTGTCTATCCCAAAGTACTCCGTTTATTTGTTTAATACATGTTCTTGTCTGTGCTAATCTGCTGGTTATCTCTTGCTCAGTGGTTCCATTTTTTGAGAGTATGAATCCCAAATATTTTAATTTTTCAGTGCCATTAATTTCCCTATTGTTGTCCATTTTCAAGTTTCTCAATGGTTCCTGCTCTCTTTACCTGTGCTCTGTGTTCCTATCTAGGTTTATTTCTAGTCCACTTTTTGTGTATTTCTTTTCTAAATTTCGGAGCATATAGCACAGATCTTCTTCATATTGAGCCATTACCACTTGGTCATCTGCAAAGCTTAATGTGTACAAGAAGTTGTCCCGGATTGGTATTCACATTCCTTCACATTTCCTTTTCCATGGTTTTCTATTAACCTCTGAGTTATTCCGATTTCCTTCATCGTATTCCATAGTTATTTTCCAGAAACCATGTCTAATGCATTTTTTAAATCTATGAATGCGATGTGTACTGGTCTATTTTTTGCCATTTTTTTTTTCAATTAATTGTTGGAGTCTATATGTGATCTATGCAAGATCTTCCTGCCGTGAACCCCGCCTGATCTTCTCCGATTTTTTTTGAGATAGATTTTTCTAGTTTTTCTTCCAGTATTTTTCCATATAACCTGTCCATACATGCTATCACACTGATGCACACCGTCGAAGAAGCTACAGAAAAACTACAAAATTCAATAAATAAAAATCATGAATGGACCAAAAAATGGAAAATTAAGCTAAATGAGACTAAATCCGTCCATATAAATTTTACCAATAAGATAATTAATAATATTCCAATTACAATAAATGATGTCCAAGTGCTTATTGCAACATCAGCAAAGTACTTGGGGATCACTCTTGATGCGAAACTTCGCTGAAAAGCTCACGTGAAGAAGAAAAGAGAAGAACTAGGCATCCACTACAAGAAAATGTATTGTTTGATGGGAAGGTATTCCTCTCTATCCATAAATAATAAACTCCTAATCTATAAACAAATACTGAGGCCAGTATGGACCTATGGTTGCCAACTCTGGGGCTGTGCCAAGCTTAGTGACATCAAAGTAATCCAGGTATTCCAGAATAAAGTGCTAAGGAACATCGTAGATGTGCCTTGGTACGTTAGGAACAACGATCTTCACCGGGACCTCAAGATGGAAGATGTCAATCAGATAATCAAGAAATTTGCAGGGAGCCATGAACAACGACTCCATCATCATGTAAACGTCGAGGCTATCTAGCTCCTCGAGAATACGAACCTAGAGAGAAGGCTCAAAAGAACAAAAGCCTTTTGAACTGGTATAGTGAGTGAGTGAAAAGCAGAGCAAAGTGTTGTGCGAGTATGCATGCTAAATTTAATGGTAGTTATTAGAAATAATATTAGTAGGAAAGATACTAGTGAGTAGACACCTAATTTTAAGTTTTCATTAGTAATTTAAGTTAGAAACAAATTGATGATTGGTCTTACTGACCAGATTTTAATGTAAGTACACTTCAGTGTCTTAACACTGATGCTTCTGATAGTTCTCGCATTTCTTCTTATCTCCCTTTTTATGTATCGAGGTTATATATGTTTTGGACCATTCATCTGGTATTTCGTTCAGGTTTATAGCGTTACTAAACCTTTCGTGTATAATTCTGTGTAGTTTTTCCGTTCCGTACTTAATTAGTTCATTAACGATTCCTCCTAGTCCCCTGATTTTTGTTCTTTAAAGTCTTTATGGCATTCTTCACTTCGATTAATTTTATCTCAATCTGTTCTTCATTCTAATTTTGTTGTTGTTCCTGTTCTGTGTCTGTCTATGAAATCTGGTCGGTTTTCTGTATAGTAGTAGAGTAGTTCTTTATAGTAGTCTTCCCACTTTTTTCTAATATGTATTATATTTGGACCTTTTCGTTGTTATTTTCCCTTAAAAACTTAAGTATTTTCCAGGATTCCGACTTCCTTTTTCCTCCTATGTATTGTTCAATTTGTGCACATGTTTCTTTCCATTCTTCATTCTTTTCTTTTCCCTTCTTCGTTTTACTTCTCCGTATTGCTCTTTGTACTTCTGTGTGTCTTCTGGGGATTGGGTGCTCATACTTTTCATATATAAAATTTTCTTCTCCTCAATACATTTTTTGGTTTCTTTGTTTATTTTCACTTTATGTTGGGTATTTCTTTTCTCAATTGATATTTCTTTAATACATTATTTCATATGCACTGTATCCGTTTGGTTTAGGAAAATACTAAGATAAATAAAACAACTGTTCTAAAAAGGTACAAAATATCTATTTACATTTAATTACATAATTAACTTTTATTTGGCACAACGGCAATAGCACAATTGTTCCACTTTTTTAATAAAAATCATCACAGTTTTGAGTATTTTACAATTAATAGATACATATATACAAAAACTTCTTACACTAAATTTAATCATGCCAATATTTGCCAATCATATTCAATGTAAAAAACCGATGGAATTTAATAGATCAAAATCAATTTTCTTAGTTTTAATAAATTTGAATTTGAAGCTCATCGGCATTGATATTGTTTGTCTTACTTCTTTAATAAATGTGAAAACTCATTTACAAACTCTTTTGATTGTTCAAAATTTTGTTCAATGATAAACGAAAGATGATCCTTTGGGTTATTTGGCGTATGTAAGTTGAACCTTTGGAATGACGAGGGGCTTGATTCTCTAAGTAAGAATCCGCACTGCGCAGTGCACACTTCATCCTTTAGAACAGCTTCCCTTGACCAGAATCTAAGCAGTCGGTGACAGTCCGTTACTTTAAGAGAAGCACAGTTTGCCTGTAATAATTAAAATATGTTAACTGTGTATTTGTAACTAATTATAACATCAACAAAAAACAATTCAATGCAAACAAAAGACAATGCAGAAGTGATAATGGCGATCTATTAGAGAGAGAAATGTATTGTTTTTAAAATGAGTTTTTATTTATAAATCATAACATGGTATAGTACAAATAAGGCACAAGGTTCAATAAAATACTAGTTACAAAATTTCCATAATTAAAAAAATGTATCAATTAGTGCAACTGTCCTCAAAAATTCCTCTATACTGTAGTAACATTTAGATAATAAAAACTTCTTAATTGCTCTTCGGAATACAAAATATTGCTTGAAGATCTTATATCAAGAAAACTTTCTTATCAATGTAAACAAATGGTTTTTTAATTAATGTAGAGGAGGGAATTGGAAGTGGAATAACATAATTTAAACGAGTGTTATAAGGGGAATCTATCCGAATATCCTTTTTGTTTTTTAAAAATTAAGCACGCTAATTCAAGGATATAAATGCAAGGAAGTGTCAAGATACCGTGTTTGCTGAACAGAGGCCTGCATGATGTACCAAATTTGACCTGGCAAAAATATCTGAGTGCTCTCTTTTGTAACATAAAATTTCTACTAAAATGGTGAAGAAAACAGCTACCCCAAAAGTCAATACCGTATCTCAAATTAGATTCAATCAGGGCCACATAAACACTTTTGCAATCTTGAAATCTAAATGGTGAGCAACTGATATGATCGCAAAGCAACCCGATGATATCTTTTTGCCTAAACATACAGTGTGTTCCTCAAATTTAAGTTTATTATAAATATAGAGACCTAAAAGTTTGTTTACGGTGAAAGAACAAATGCCTTCATTGTCCAAAGTAATGTTGTTTAGATCATTCTTAAAAGAAACTAATTTGGTTTTTAAAAAATTAAATGTCAAATGATTTGCTTTGCACCACTCAGTAAATCACTACTAATAATCTCGTTCAGTAGTTTAGAGTCCTTGTTTTGTCATAAAATTATGATGTCGTCTGCAAATATAATAAACCGGCCATTATTGTTGAGGTTAGTTATGTCGTTAAAATATATCAAGAAAAAAATAGGACCCAAGACAAAGCCTTAAAGTACTCCACAATTAATAAAAATATTACTTGAGTAGCGCTTATTGATTGATACAGACTGGCATCTGTCTGGCAAGTATAAACTGAACTGCTTTAGACCAGTGCCTCTAAAATCATATCTTTCCAGTTTATTAACAAGTATTTTGAGAGTGACACAGTCAAAGGCTTTAGATAGAACACAGAAAACTGCGACAGCAACATAATTGTTATTTAAGTCCCAGTATTAGTTATTCTTATTGCAGACAGCTTTGATCAAGCACATATAATGCTCCAAGAACTCCATACTGCCACAAAAAGAGTTGGTCTTAAAGTAAATTTTTCAAAAACACACTTTATGACAAATTTAGTCCACAACAAAAACATCTTAGTAGAAGTCAAAGACATTGAGTCAGTTGACTCCCATAAATACTTGAGCCATGAGATCAGAATAAGTTGAGACAACCAAACAATCAAGCTGACAAGAAGAATAAACCTCGCTTGGGCTGCATTTGGAAAGATGAAGGATATTTTTAGGTCCAAGATTCCAATGTGTCTGAAAATAAAAGTATTTAATCAATGTATTTTGTCAGTGATGATCTACGGTTCAGAAACTCTAAGACTCACAAAAACAACAGTGAGTAAACTATAAGTTGCGGAAAGGGCAATGGAGAGAATAATGTTAGGAATTTCTCCACGTGATAGAATACCCAATGCTACTATACGCAAAAGATCAGGAGTAGCAGACGTTATTGAAAGGATAACAACATTAAAGTGGAACTGGGCAGGTCATGTAGCAAGATCAGTTGATGGCCGATGGACAAATAGAATTTTGGAATGGAGACCCCGAATACAAGCTAACAAAAATAGAGGTCGACCCCCATGACATAAAAAGAGTGATTACAAATTGGATTCAGATGCCGCAAAATCGGACTAAGTGGAGAAGCATGCGAGAGGCCTATGTTCTGCAGTAGACGTTAGAGGCTAGTTGATGATGATGATAGTTTTTCAATAAATTCGAGGATATCATCATAAATATGTACTTTTAAATGTCTGGAAACCGAATTGGAAGAAAGAAAGTAAATTGTGTTTATGTAAGAAAGTCATCATTCGGATTTTAACCAATTTTTCTACAACTTTTGAAAGCGACAGTAAAAAGAGAAAGGACGATAATTGGCAGGTAAATTGTGATCACCACCGTTATAAAGAGCAATAACCTTAGCACATTTTAAACAACTGCTAAAGTGACCCGTTGAAAAAGATGTGTTAATTGCCTCCGCTAAAATTCTCAGAACATTATCAGAAAGAACTTTGGATGGGATATCATCCCAGCCTGCAGCCATAGGATTTTTAATGCCTTAGTCTCTTGTGATCTTTATTTTGTGTCCAAGTTATATGTATTTTTCCACCAGCTCTACTTCGTTGTCTCCAATATTGATATTTCCGCTAGGTAAGTTTGTCATGAATTTTGATTTGGAGATATTTATTTTAAGACCCACACTGACACATACTAACTAAAGTTTATGTAGCATTGTACATATCTTCTTGAGGTTGTCCGAGAACAAAACTATGTCGTCTGCTAATTTCAAATTTGTTAATCTTCTACCGTCAATGTTCAGGCCTTTCTCTTCCCAGTTAAGTTTTTTACAAATATATTCTAGTACTGAGGTAAACAGTTTAAGCGACAATGTATGACCCTGTCGGACTTCTCTACAGATTGGGCTGTGATCCATGTTTTCATGTAGTTTCACCAATATAGTTGCGTTCTTGTGTGCATTGTAAATTGACCTTGTATATCCGTAACCAATGCGGCATGCTTGTAGTGCTTCCTAGATTTTGTCAAATTCACCGTGTCAAAGGCTTTATGGAAATCTACAAAAGCCAAAATGAGTGGTCGATTGTATTCGATAGTCTTTTCTATTACCGTTTTAATGTTCTGTAGGTGATCATTTGTTCCAAATCCGGTACGAAATCACACTTGCTCTATTGGCTGGTAGGAATCAAGTTTTTTTATCAAGATGATTCGTTACTATTCTTGTAAGGAGTTTGTTTAGGTGACTTACAAGATTTTTTGTCTTGTAATCCAAAATTTTGAATAGAACAGTGCTAGTTGTAAGAATATTTTGCAATTTTATTAATAAAGTAATTTACTTTAGTAAATACTAAAGTATTTATTTAAGTATAGGTATATGTAATGTTACTTAATACTTACACCTTGAACAGTACAAACGCAACTTGTACACGGACTAACGAAACCAGTTTCCCCTACGCGTACGTATTTCGTTCCTATTAAACATCCTTGATCGTTACTGTACTCCTTCCAAGCGCGGAGATTGATGGAAGGCAAAGAATGACACGGCACTCTTGGATTCAAGAAATTCGATGGAAGGTCAAAGGCATATCTTTGAATGTAGCCTTCTACATCCATGTTGTCGCAAAGAACTTTAGCTAAAGTTATTTTACGGATTTCTGCTAACTGGTGCTCTGTGAATCTCACCACTGGATCTTCATTTTCAAACCTAAAAGGTATGTCAATACTAAGTTAAAAAATATTTAAATTAAGTAAGGCAATAGTACACATATTTATTAAATCATCTTTTAATCCTTTATATTTTATTTTTAAGAGTCATTACTAAGCAACACAGGCGCAATAAGGCAATCGTAATCGTATTATTTTTTAGATAAACTCACTTAAAAACTTGTTAAAATTCGTTTAAATGAATACTATTTATTTATTTGTCCTACCAAAATCTGTCACATTTCTTCAATTGTCGAAACTGTATGCCGATAATACATCCAAACGTAGGTCCAACCATTGCACCCTTTAGAGAAATCTCACTCATTCCTCCTGGAAAGAGATCTATGTCATCTACGTGAGCATAAATACTTTTAAGTCTAGCAATACTGTCCGGTGTCATTTCCCTTGAGAGATCTTCGAAACTGTAAGCCCTCTTTAGATTGCAAAAGGCTCTGTAGTTATTGTAAGATGGAATACCGTGATCTCTAGCCCTTTGAAGGTTCCTTGCAATTAGGTCAATACCTAGAATAGTAAAAAAATATAAAAAACTTAATTCAAGTTAACACAAAAGTGTTTGTTGGAAACCTACCCGAGAATGGTATTCTCCTATCTTCAAACAAATGATTGGTCACTTCCCCTGTAATAAACTGATCCAATGTTTCAATTGGAGTCGAAATAAGTCCTCTAGTTATTTCGTCTACCATATTCTCCCTCATCATCATATCCATCTTAAAGAAACCATCTCTTAGCAGAATTGGTGGATTGACAATTTCGTATGCAGGACTAACTCTAGAAGAACAAGTTACTTTACGCACAAATGTTATTACAACAACTTAAAATAAAAAGTTTATCTTTAGACATTTTTTTTTACCTTGGTATGTGAGGTCTCAGTAAAGAGTGTCCAATTCTAAACGCTGCTGCAGCAAATTCATTAACAATAGTTGGATTACAGTTAGGATTATAACTTTTGAAATATCCATTTGGAGATAGTTTTAAGTCATATATGTTCATCGCATTCCAACCTAAAATCCTCGGCAAGAATTCATTGTACGTTATTTGCTGGAACAATGCTATAACTATTCTTCGGACGTTCTCAAAAACTTTCTCCTCGTCCCAATGTGGATTAATCTTCCTGATGAAATCTGATATTCTATTGTGCTCTCGCAGGAAAATAGTGTGTAGTGCTGTTAGTGCAGGTTGCTCTGAAGCTCTTGGATCGCCTATATAAATTATATATAAATTGTATATAAATTACTATTAAGTACTATTAATTACTTATATAAATTACGCATATAAATTACTCCATATCATATTGGAAGGTCAAGTTCAGAGCAAAAAATCAGTTGGAAGACGCCAGGACTCATGGCTGACAGACATGAAGAGATGGTTTGACCGCTGATTTACAGAAATCTTTCGTGCAGCAGTTTCCAAAGCTACAATTGCCATTTAGATTATTTTCATCACATCACATGTGGATCATCACATTCGATCATTTTCGTTAAAAGAATCACATCACAGCACCAGATTGATTCAATATTTGGATGCTAGCCTCAATGTGAATGCATAAACTCTTTTGCAAAAGTATCCCGAACAGGCCAACATCGTTAAATAAGATTTTTTAGAAAATACTATAATAATAAGCATGGCTACGGATTTGGTAGACCATAGCTTGACGTTTGTTCAACTTGTGAAGAATTTAAGGCTATAATAACAAGTCAAACGCTGAATAAAAATACCAAGTGTGTAGCAGATGCAGAAAAGATGGTACATCTGAGACGAGCTACAAAATTTTACATGAAGCAGCAAAAAGTGTTAAGATTATGTAAAGAAAATATCGGAGCTATTTTGTTCAACTACATGCAAAACCTTCCGCTTCCAAAAATACCAGTGCAGGAAATGTTTTATCTCATGACACTATAGCTTTACGTGTTTTGTGTCCATGATCTAAAAACAAAGTAAGCATATTTTTACACGTACCATAAAGGAAAGGCTAAAAGGGGACCTGATAATGTATCTAGTCTAATTTGGAAGACAATCCAGAATATGGCTCCTGCTAGAAACGAACTTCACGTGTTTAGTGACGCTTGCGGAGGACAGAATAGAAACAATACCCTCATACATTTCATGCTCATGTTGGTTTCGACTGGACGGTTCGATAAAGTTTATCAGTAATTTCCTGTGCGTGGACATAAAGTGCGATCGAAATTTCGAAATAGCAGAAGGACTTATCAGGAAAAAGGAAAGGATTTATTCGACTTTAAAAATACCTCGAAAAATCATTACAAAAAAACTTGTAAGTCGGTGGACAAAAGTCTACATTTATGATATACAAATATAGATATTTAGAGTATTCTTCTTCTCATAAAGGCTGCGTAACAGTCTCAAAACAAATAGATGGTTTTCTAAAACAGATGTTTCTACTCAAAAAATGGGGTGATCCCTTCATTGCTACTACTAGAGCATACAGGACAAAAATACAATAAAAGAGAAACAGATAAAAGATGTTCGGAAAATAATTCCATAAATTCCAGAAGATAAAAAAGAATTTTACGAAAACATCCTTGCATGGCCAAATACTGCCTCAGATAATGTCATTGAGGAAGACGGGTAGTTTATGGAAATGATTTTTTTTGTATTTGTTTATTTTTTATAAAATTCTTTAAAAAAAAATAAGCTTTTTCATACAATGTTGTGTCTTTATTCATGTCAAAAAAATATATATTGTAAAAAAGGAATAAATCCAAGATTTTCTTTATCGTTTTTTTAGATAACGAAAATCACTGGATGGTTTTTCTCCAATCCAAATTAACTTATATAAACTATACTTTATAGTATATGTCATTATTAAACAAGAAAAATTAAATAGAACGAATAAACAGTTTTTATTGATTTCTCGAATTTTTTTTTGAATTCATTCCTTTTTCTAACTGGTGGTTCAATTAAGTCAATAAAAATTTTTAAATTACAATATAAAAATGATTAGGTATTATGATGTTAGTGGCTCTTTAGACATTATTTATAATAAAAATGTTAGCTCACCTGCAGCAAAACACAGTCCGGACCGGGATTTACATTCGGGATGCTTATTAGTCTGTGGCAGCAAATCTTTTCCTCTCACAGGATGGACAGTATAATTCATGAGACCACCATTTGTTCGTAACATGCTAGCCTTACAAGGGTTCTCTCCATATATCATAGATCCGTCTAGAAAAGCACTGTTCATATTGATTTGTTCTCTTGGTCCAAAATGTTGTTGGCCAGGCAGTGACCTCATTGAGTGTAGACACATCCTCTCACCTAGGGTAAATTTTTTGTTTAGTTTTAAGTATTCAGTAAATACACAGTGTGATAATTTTCGTTGAAAACGATATAAGGTTCAATTTAAAAAAATAATGAAATTGTATTCTGTAGTACAGATATCAAGGAACCAAACAAATGTTAAAAGACTTAAATGAGCAGTCAAATAAAATAGGTCTTTAAATGAACCATTAAAAACCAAAATAATCAATACATGAAATGTTAATCTAGTATTTAATTAGTATAATCTCGAATCCTTTACACCTATTAAGGTAAAAGTTATTACCGCCCCAATTTTCGCAATTTAGCTGTTTTTAGTATTTTTTATTTTCCTAGCGTCAAATCATAACATGTTTATTATCTACGCTTTATTTATTTTTATCTATCTATCTTTTATTTCACTATTAACTACCTATATCTCTATTCATCCTCAATGAAGCCTCCGAACGCAGTCTTCGTAAAATCCCGGTAAATGATCAGCTTTTTACCATTTACTCCTGTTAGCTATTGCGGTACATAGACAGTATATGTCGTAGGAGCACAATTGGTAAAATTGGACAAGTTGTGGCATTTTTTAAACCTTACATACTCGTATTATTAAAGAAACTTCAAAGCAGATAACTTTGATGTTTTGATACAAATACTCGCTTTATGGACACAAACATAAATACCTGTTGTGATGTTAAACTCTGGATAGTAATCATCTCCAGGAGGAATAGGTAATGGATCACATTCCGGATGTACGGTGAAACGACTGTTGCAAGATCGACAATCCGGTATAGATTCTTCAAAACCTTTATGAATGGGAGTCAGCGTAAGGTCGTGATCTACAAGCTGAGCGTACTGCATCGTCATCAACGTATACCTTGAATGAAGGTTACTAATATCTGGATGGATCACTCTTGATACGACTCTTGGATTAGGAAGGGCAAATCCTGTTACACCCGTGACTCTTGCTTTGGATATTCCTAAAAATAAATTTACATAAATTCTAAAAATAACTGTGAAACTTATTATAATTTAAGCCGTGATCGAGTTTTCCTGTACCGCTTCTTAAAATTAAATCTTTCACATATTATGCGTGCGGAAGAAGACTGTTACAACTCAAAATTTGTCATTTTTGAGATTTCTATCGCAAACGACTTAAAAAGGCATTATCTTTAATCTAGAAAAGTGTTATAAGTTTGGATAAAGTACTTCTCAAAAGATGTCGAGATGTTACACATGTACTTTTTAAAAATAGCATTTCGCTTCTCGAGATTATCACTGCAATTCAGTTTACCACCAGCTCTGAAATAAAAAAACGTCTGTGCTAATCAAAACTGTTACATTTTGTAATCATGCTAATTGTTAAGTGTTTTTCCAGGAAAACTGTCACAATTATATTTATAACCCAGATTTTTTTCGGTAAGTAGAATTTAGTTTATTATTTATCTACAAGAGTGTTATATTTTAAAATATAACTTACTTGCATAAAGAAAACCATGAAATATGAAATAATTTTGATGGGTTATAAAAAAAAAGAAACATTTCGACTTGGAACGCTTTTGTATAGAAACGTCGATTAAATTGTGTTTTATTTCAAAATGTAATGGTTTTCTTAAAATACTTTGCCTTAAAATTGCATTATTTTTGTTGAGGAATCAAAGTACATTTTGGAATAAAACAGTTTTGCATAGTCCTATGGTTTAGATTCATTTTGTTTTCTAATATTGTGTGTGATATTTTTTTTACATTATTTTTATTACTATATAGTCTAGAAAGTCTAATTTTTTACCATTTTCATTTTTTTCACAACACTATTACTATATTATGTATCTACCTCCTTCTAGTATGTACTATCTTTTTACCTACATCTATGAATATTTTGTTTGTAGTTTAAAATGGCTGAAAAGTATGAAAATTGCAGCATGCGCATTTTAAACATGATAAACAATATTCAAGATGAAACGCACACAGAAATTGTTTCACAAGAAAATCAGACCAGATCTGGTGACTTGCCAGGTAAAATATGCCAGTAATTAATTACTATAATGTCTTAATTATGGCTGAATTTTTGGAAAAAGAAACCTCCCAATCTGAAGAGACACAAATTCACCATCAGGATTTTAAAATAGCCATTGGCATAGTTTGACCATTTATGATTGGTTACCCTTTGGCTAGAATATAAAACGTTCTAAAATTTAACTTTGTTTTCTGTTTTATGTGGAAGAGAGTTACAAGTGGTTTTTCTGGCTTATTTCCATATTTTAAGTGTTTCTGTACTTACTATTTTATGGAAACTTGTTAGATATTTTACTATGAGATGGCAGTATAAATTGTACGTAGTTTTATAATAATTATAGTCGAAACTCAATTTTAGTTACATTTACATATTTAGAAAAAAAAATATATATTTAAGAGAGATACAATTTTACCTGTTTTTACAAAAGCAATAGTGATAAATAAAATATAATTATATCGTTTGAATCAGACCACTAAATGTCATTATGCCATAAAATAATAATAAGCGAATAGTTCACAAATTTAAAAATAAAAATAATTTATAGAAAAATTATCTTTAATCAGCTCTGCTGAAAATTAATACTTTTTGAGTTGTAACAGTCTTCTTCCTCACGCACAATATGCGAAACTCATAACCTTGAGCCCCCATCTAGCTTCAGTATATCGTATGATATCGGATGGTGATGTGGCACAGTAGTCAGTATTTTCATAACCCACTTGCGGAAGTGATATTTCCCTGGCGGTCCATTATACCGATAGCCGCGTATTGCGTAGAATTTCTGTATACAAGTTTAGTCAAGAAAATATTAGTTTTATTGTATCTTATGTGTAATTGGGGCGTGGTAAGTTTTTATCTAATTTTTTTCTTGTTTACTAGGGTTTTTTACAGCAACTCTATTCTCGTTAGTACTTTTTTACTGACGAACAAAGACGATGTGTTTGACAGATCCTGCGTTTCGTCGAGGTACAGTGTTCTGTTAATCAAGCAAACTTAAATTTATCCACCAGAATAATTCTCTGGGTAGGACGACTATGGCGACCGTAAAATGGACACAGCATTCGGTTCGTTGCCCGAACAAAACATCCATTTTGATAAAAGAATTTTAACATGTGCATGTTTAGATAGATAGATTTAGAGAGGTGGCCTTTTGGTTTATTCCACTGCGACATTTTCAGATCCTTCAGACCCTTTTTAAAAAGTCTCATAGCTTCAAGATTGAACCTTCCATGTAGCTATTTTCCAGTTAATTTTTTTCTCCTAAAGCAAAGAACTGTACATTTGCCGGACTGTCACACTGGCATAGAATGTGCTCTGCTATTTATTCTTCGAGGTAACAGAACCTACACAGATCATCATCTGGTAATCATATCAGCTTCAAGTGCCTATTTAGTTTACAGTGCCCTTTTAGAAGATTTACTATGGCTTTGACTGTTTTCCTGTCTTTGATTATTAGGTCTGAGGTAAATTTTGGCGAATGTTCTGTAGTGATCTGTTTCGCCTGTCTTTGTCCTGGTAAATTCCTCCACTATTTCAGAAATTTGTGAGCTACCCACTTCCTTGTAACCGTTCTTGTTACTGTTTTACAACGCCACAGGAGTGTTCTATTCTAATGAATGGCATTGATGAGCCTTGTTTGGACATTTTATCTGCTTTTTCGTTGCCATTATGAGCCTCGTGCCCCGATACCCAAGCTACCGTAAGCTTACTAGGGACTCCCAGTTTATTTAGGGCATACATACAATCCTATACTAGCTTAAAATTGACCCCTACAGAATTAAGTCCCTTAAGCGCTGTCTGACTATCTGAAAATGGCAACTGAATAGAACGTTCTTTCCTGCCTTTCTATTTCTTCCCCGCGATGATGGATTGCCGTTATTTTCGCCTGAAAAACTGTCAAATCCTTAAATAGACTTACCAAACAATATTTGTCCCTACTATGCCGGCTCCCACACCCTCCGATATTTTTGAGCCGTCCGTGTACCTGTATCAGGTAGCAGTAGCTCGCATAGGTACACTTTATATATAATATTATATATACATATATCTCGTAGCTGTTGCATCGATAGGTTGCTCTATCACAATCTCGGCTTTTAGCTCCTCGATTAGCTTTCTGTTGTCTACACCACGCATCTGGCTTATATGTCGTTAACTATGGATTTATCTGTGCATCACTAATCTGGCTTCTCCCTGTATAAAGATATAAACTATTGCTAGGTTTAGCAGGAATTGAAACGATACAATAGGTGTTGTTTTTAAGGCCCTCGTAATACACAGGTGCCTTTGTGTATTAACAAACAGCCTTATTGCTCCTACTTGCTGCGTCTTTGTCCACCACGTAACCAAGCCATAGGTTATCAATATTCTAATAACCCTTATGTATAACCAAAGAGTCATTTTGGGGTCTCCAATTCTTACCGCACATTCTTCTACATATGTCCAGGACTTTCTGTGTGGTTTTCAGAATGTGAGTATTCCATGTAAGCGTATGATCAAAATACACCCCAAGGTATTTTGTTTCCTTGGAAAATGAAATCTCCCAGCATCTGTGGTTATTGGCCTTGTAGTGCTGTTTATAGGTGAAGTTGACGATTTGTGTTTTCTGAGCATTGAATATCAGTCTCTTTTGTTTACACCAGTTGTCAACTATATTTAGGGCTGCTTGCATTCTCTCAGACACCACCTGAGCAAACCTGCCCTGATAACGATTGTTATATCGTCAGCATATCTTAGACCATAAAAGCCCTCTGTGGACAGATTTTTGAGGAGATCATTTCCAAGGTTGCCTAAAGTAGAGGAGACAGAACTCCTTTATGTGCACAGCCTCCACCTACTTTTGCTTTGATAGTTGCTTTACCCAGAGTGAACATTACTGTTCTATTCTCTAGGGATGCCCTTATCCATCTGAATATATTGAGAGTAGCTTTGATAGGAGCTATGAGTAGACGGGGCGCACCTGGGCCTATGATAGCTCCTATCAAAAAGCTGGTAATACTATTAAATGCCTCTTCTATATCTAAAAATGTGGCCATTGCTATCTGTTTGTCTTCTTTGTCTTCCAATACATGTGCATGTATTGTTGTAGGCTATTTATATTTATGGTAATTTGTTTAAACATCCTTAATAAATGAGAACCAATTTGACAGATATACCTTTAACTATAAAGTCGGTACCAACTATCAAATTTCGGAAGTCCCTAGTGGAAGACTCTTTAGGTGAATGGTCTCTTAGATTACACTGTGTGGACTTTTATGAAAAAGAAACAATTCATATGAAATCAACAATTATAATCTATACGATCTACTGGTTTTAAAAGGTAACTGAATATTTGATTAGTTCATACTTATAAATTAAATAAACAGTTACTATAAAACTAGTGACACAACATAGTAGATGATATAAAATATTATTAAAAACGCTCAATAAATCGCATAAAAAAAAACAATAAATGGCATGAAAAATTCAATAAATGGCATATTGCTTGAAGTCGAAAGTACGACTTTTATAGAACTAGTATGTATTTGTTAATGGAATGTCCTTACCATCTTCATATTGACTGGGTAAAAGCCTGATAAATGTTCCCAAAGCCTTTCCGTATCCAGGATTTCTCAAATTATTACAGTGCCCAGTATAGGTCCTAAATGGATATTGAGGATCGCATGGACCAGTTTCATCACATTCAAAATCAGCCTGTACATTTTGACCAAACTGTGGCAGGTTGCTGAAATCGATATTTTGCAAACTTTCAGTAACTTCGTTTCGTAATATTGGTAGTTCAGCTTCAATAATCAGGTGTCTTTTTCTTCTTCGGTGCATTAAACCATTAACAATTTCATTCGAAGCTAGTTCGAACAGGAGGGAAGTATTAGCTAGTTTTAATGCTTCTTTGTTCGCTTTGCTAAAAGCTACAGCTGTACCTTGGGGAGACTTTGGATTTACACCACCACCTAAAATTAACTTTGTATGATTACAAGTACTTGAATATTTGACTATATAAGGAAGAATATAATAAAAACACAATGGTTTAGTTACTTCACTAAGTTTAGAGTTTAACAAAAATATTTTGTGTAATAATTTTTTTCAAAAGAAAAAAGATTTCTCACGTGACCATTAAACTAAATATTATTTTTATACCTTGTGCCCACACTTCATACTCCTTTTTCCTCCTCTCCAACAAATTTTGTTGAGCTTTACTCAGGGCTTCTTTTAACAGGTCATCCGTTAGGTCGGGCACTGGTTCCTCTTCTTCCCATTCTGATAATGTAGGCAGTTGATATTGATCACAGTTTATTTTAGAATTCAAAAATAAATCTTCTTGTAAGAAAGCTTTGGGTTGCAATTTTTGTAGATTCTTTGTATTGGCGCATATCAGTCCAGATAGTGTTATTTTCTTAATTTCGTTTAGTTGCTTAACCGTAAAGGAACTTGGAGGAAGATCGTTTTCATACCAAAATCTATCGGACTCTTTTAGGAGGTGGAATTGTTGCTTCAAAAGACAGTTTATTGTTGGTCCTACTATAGCACCTGAAAAATAAATAAAACATTCTTAGTCATCTTGTTTTACCTTTATGTAATCAAGATAAAACGACAAGAATGTGTACTATCCCCTCTATTTTTTAAAGACATCAATAAAGGCATATTAATTAACGGAACACTAGTGAATAATCTAAGATACCCAGACGATGCAATACTCTCTGCGGACAGCAGAGAAGAGCAAATTTTGGTTGATCCTACTACACTGTACTGCGAGTAGTATGGAATGGATTTGAGCACAAAAAAAAACAAAAAATATTGACGGTTAGTAAGAACAAGATTGAAAACGGCACAATCTACGTTAAAGGAAACGTTTTATATAAAGTACCTAGATAAAATTACTTGGAATGTAAGCTAAATAAATAACGGATCCGCAGCACTGAAATTAAAGGATGCATTGAGATAGCCAGAAGTTCGCCGGGTTACCTAGTCATAAAAATAAATGATATTAATAAAACAATTATAGTCTTTAACTGGAAAAGATAAAGAGGGAAGATATGTTTGTCTTAAGTTGATCGTTTAGAATTATGTCTGTATTTTTTAGTTTATTAATTTCCATAGATTATAATAAAAATCTTAAGACCTGTATATTAAATATGAAGTAGTATGATCCAGAAAGTAAGGTGCGTACGTAGCATCTGTTTTTCTACTACTAAAACATATTTTATTTTCTGCTATACGTTTATAAGAGGTTCTACAAGTTTGGCCGATGACTGCCCAAAATCTTACATTAGAGAACTTTTAGCAGTTTTCAATTAAGATCTCAGTCTTTTTCTGATTTTATGTGAAATACATAGCAATCAAACAGTTTAGAATTTTCAATTGCTTCTACCACAGTAAACCATTCCCTACTATGTATCTATAACTACAGTTGAATAGAAAAAAAAATTTGCGGTAGAAAAAAATATAATTATGTAGTTGAAAGAGTAATATAGAATGTCATACCTGGTAATGGTTCTTCTAAAACAGCACCTACAATGAGATCTATATCTTCAATACCATCATACAATTCCTTCAGTATCTTCATATCTGATGCTGTTATACTCAGTTTTCCAAGATCATTGAATGTCTTTAAACTTGTAATTACTGAGTTGTTGCATAATGTTAAATACTTTGAGTAGGAAGCAATACCATGATCTCTGCCCATATGTAAATATAGTAAGAAAGTATTCCAGTCAGGTCTCACATGTACAGGTATATGAGCACTTAATGTTTGTGACGAAGCAGATATTAAAGCATCAATCATCTGTTCAAATGTTCCAGGTGTTACTTTGGCCTGTAAATCAGGAAAGATAATATAGATATTATAGTTATTTCATAAATTTTATAAATACTTTTGGTAGTACATACCAAATTTTGAGGTACTAAAGAAAGTAATGCGGGTAAGGCAGCAACTGCTACTTCGTTGAATACTCCAGCCCTTTTGTTACTTGAGTAATTGGAAAATCTTCCATGGACTTTTAGCTCTAGTTGTGATTGTACCATAGTTTCCTGAAAAGTGAAAACAAAAATATTACCAATCAGTATTTCATCTTTTCACAGTACCTAATCGTGTCAAATGTTGACGATTATGTAGAAATGGACTACCTACGACGATGTACCAGAATTTTTAGATTGGATGGCATTCGCAACGAAAAAATCAGAAATTGACTGTCAAAACCAGAAACAATTGTTGAGCGAATCAAAAAAAAATTATTATTTAAAAATTGTCTTTTATTTTTTTTTAAAGGAAAAATGCCTATTAAGAATGATCTCTTAGTTAATTTAACCCATTAGCTCCTAGCGTTACGATCATGTAACGGCAAAGTGGTGGCATCTAAATGGATCCTCTATCACCTACTTCGCAAATTTTCAATTGAAAACAGGTCAGTTCTTGTCAGAAGGTGCTAGTGTTTACATAATTGTAAATGTGCGATTTTATTAGAACTTTGTTTTAAATTTGTGCCTGGATAAAATTTATTGTAACGAAAGAAAAAAGAAGAAAAGAAAAGCTTCAAATAATGGACTTCGTTGATAAAGAGTAAGTTTATTTATTTTCTACTCTAAACTCTTATTTTCTACAATAAAGCTAATATTAGAAAACAAATAGTATAAGAAAATATAAATACGTATTGTTTGTGTAAAACAGCTTTGATATTTTTTTTAATAAAAAAGCTGTTCGGTTAGAAAATTGACTGTTACTTATTTGTAACACTAGTATGTAATGTAAGCATATTCTCCAGTTATTTTGTACCAATATATCATATGTTTTGTTTTTATTGGTATTTTTATTAATATTTTTCGAAGAAATAGTATACAGAGTGTTTATAGAACTTAAATATTAAAAAATTTGACATCTAAAAATGCAGTATGTGCATACTAAGTTGTTTCTGTTATTTCAGGGGCCTTGCTGCAGTTCTTGAAAAAGGCCTGACTGTTCAAGAGGCTATTAATATACCCTTTGGAGAATATGACCAGATAGATTATTCGATAGAGGCAATTTATATAATGCCACCGGATCCGGCTCCTCTGACGGATGAGGATTCCATAAATGAGGACGAGGGCGGAGATTTCGAGAATTTGAGTAAACGTCAGCTACTTGGCAATTCAAAAGTTAGAAATGCAGATCGAATTATACTAAAATATGAAATTTCTATTTAACAGTCAGAATCTACAGAAGGTAACATTTCTTAAGCAAATAATATTGATATTACACTTGTTCATATGGTATATCCAAAAGTTTATGAATCCCGGGATTGGCTTTCGGGAGATTTCACATATAACGAGAAACAATTTCCTGGATCAGATTATACACTGTTTAAAAACAAATCAAATGTTGCTGTATTCAAAATGTGCATAGATAAAGAAATCATTTTTATTCCTGGTACAGGAAACAAACCAATATGCTACTTTCAAGAACCTACCCGACCCAGGAGTCTCGCAAGAGGAAATAAAATGTTTTATTGCGATATAGATTCTTAATGGTTATAATAATCTTTCCAGCAAGCAAATATTGGGAGCAAAGTTTTGACACTAGAAACGAACTTGTATATGATGCTATGAGACGCAACAGATTTGAGCAAATTTTGAAGCTTGAGGATTGATAAGGGTGATAATCTCTGGAAAATACGGCTATTTATACATAAAGTGAAGGACAAATTTGTTCCTAAAAAAGATCTGGCTTTCGGCGAAAGTATGATTAAATACTATGGTAAACATAGCTGCAAACAATTTTTAAGATTTGGTTCAAAAGTCTGGTTCCTAAATATAGTTATGGGCTATTTGAGTAATTTCGAGATAAATCAACGAACATTTGTTCTGATATTGACATAGAAAGAAACTTTGGAAAGGCGGCAGCACCACTGGTGAAAACAATAGAAGATGGACGTGGTAATCTGAAATATTTTCCATTTTTATTTTACTTTGACAATTTATTTACTATCTTCAGTTTATTGCTTATTTACGTTTAAAAGGATACTAAGGCACGGAGACTATAAGAGAACACCATTTACCTAGTAGCTGTTCTTTATTAGCAAAAAAGATATTCAGAAAAAGAAAAGGGGATACTATAAAAGTATTATTAGTAAGACGGATTCTGTATTAGTAACTAAGTGTGTCGATAATTCCGGAGTTTGCATTTTTTCAAATAGATATGGCATCGATATAATAACAGATGTTAGACGTTATTCACAAAAGGAAAAAACACATACAAGTTAGCAGACTAGCAGTACTTGCAAAGTATAACAAAAAAATGGTTGGTACTGATCGAAAGGATCAGAATGCTGGACAGTACCGGATTCAAATTAGAAAAAAAAATAATACTGGGCATTGTTTACATGACTTCTTGATGTTTTAGTCAGTAACGCGTGGTGTTTGTATCAAAAATCAAACAACCCTCAGATGTCCCAAATAGACTTCCGAAGGGCTATCGTGCAAGTTTATTTGAAGAAATATTTGTCATCTCCCAAAAGCACTAGCAGGACTCCATCTCCATCTTCTAATGACCAAAAAGTGGACCGATTAAATTAGAAATGATAGGATGAAACATCTAATGGATAAAATTTCATTCGACAAAAGAAGACGTTGTGCTGGAATAACTAGAACTGATTGAAGATATATTTTGTATTTTTTGCACCCATTAGCTCCTAGCGTTACATATACGTAACATCATATAAGTGATTTATAAATCCGAATGCATAAAATCATTTATTTTTATGTTTTTTAATAAAACTACTCCCAAACAATATTAGCACCACATTAAAAACTGCGAAAAAATAATCTGGATCCTAATGGGTTAATACAACATATGAGATCATTTCAATGATGTAGCAATTGTAGGTTAAAAATGTCAGACTGAATAGAAAGTGTTCTAGTTCAATTGACACGCAGAAGTAAAATTAAATTAAATTCGTATTAACTAGTTTTTTTGGAAAAAACTCACCTCTCCTAGAATTAGCGGCAAAAACTCATTATAAGTAATATGCTGTAATTCAGCAGTGACTACTCTTCTGCTTTCCAAAAAGAGTGTATCATCTGTCCATTCTGGGTTTATTTTACTTAGCTTCTTTCCGATTCTATTATGTTCTTTCATAAACACAGTGTACAATGGATTAAGTAAACAAGATGAACAAGTAGAAATATTTACATGACCAGTTTTGTAGGTGCGCAGTCGACTCATGTCTTCCAAAGTGTTTCCGTAGATTGCGGATGCGTCAAGAAACGAGGTGGCTAGATTCATTTGGTCTCTGTAAGCTAAAATAAATAGTAAAACTTTATTAAACTTATTGCAACCACCTACAGATGATTTCTTTGGTTCTTATTACAAAAACAAAATCATAAATTCACTCATACACACACTACATGTTTATCTCAGTCTTAGTCTACCCCTACTGTTATTTCCTACTGGTGCTTCTAATATGGCATGTCCAGCTATTAAATTTTACCGATTTTTATAATCATTCAGGCGGGACCTATTTGGAATTGGACATTTTCCATAGAAGTTAATTTTTCGCTGCACTTCAGATCTATTTTTATCTATCTATTTTATTTTCTATACACCTGAGTCTGATATCCAGTATCGTTCTTAGAGATTAAAACATCCAGGAAAGGTAGCGTGTTATTATATTCCTTTTCCATGGTAAATGTTATTGTCTCTTATAAAACCAACACACACCAATAGATATTTAAATTTCAAATCAAATCACAATATTAATGTAAAAAAAGGGAATAATTAAATCCTTATATGATAGAGCCAAAATTACTTGTTCTAACGAAAATTCGTTCTTGGAAGAGAAACATTTGTCAACATCTGTTTTATTAAAAAATGATTATCCTTTATCGTTTATAAATAAGGAATTTTCAACAATCGATCGAATAGAACAGAACAACTTAGAACGAGATCCTACAGCATACACAAGGAGCAATACGAGGAAAATAACAATACCGTACATAAAAGGACTATCAGAAAAACTTAAAAGGATAGGCAATAAACTCAACATTTCAACAACATTCAAAACAACAAACACGTTGAGATCTATTTTGTCCAAAACCAAACCTAACGATGAACAAGAAAGGACAAAGAATTGCATTTATAAAATACCTTGTTATAAAAATAATGTTAGAATAAGTGAACATCAATCTTATATTAAAAATAGAGAATTTGATAGATCTCAAATATGTAAACAAGCATGGGATAATGAACATAGGGTTCAATGGAATAATTCAAATGTAGTCCTACAAGAGACGGATGGTAAAAAAGAAAAATCACAGAAGTGGCTTTAATTATGCTAAATGAGGCCAATTGTGTCGCAAATTCCTCGGCAGAATGTAGTAGGATCTGGTTACCAATATTGAAAGAGGAAGTTATTAATAAGAAAATACCAGTATTAGTAAGTCAGTAACATATAGAGGATACATCATTTATGTTTTTTAAATAACGAAACATATAAAATCAGAATTTTGGTGTTTATTGAAGGTAAACTAATTGCACGAACAAATACTTACCATGTCGGGATAGTATTATGAGGTTTTTTTCCTGGTTTTTTCCTCATAATTTACTATGGAATTACTAACAGGAAATTTTACTGTCATCATGTCATGTGTTTGTCTTTTTAAAGACGAATTATATGCTATGACGAACGAAAGACGACTAAAGTCGTCTACTTTAAAATGCATAATATATGTCTGAATTGTCAATATAAATGAGTCAGATAAAATTAAATTATTAGAAGAATTTTTCACTATGTAAAAAAACAAAATTTGTTTAATTTACTGTTTGTATTTTGAGAACGATTTCCGAAGTGGAAATTGAAACGTCAATAAACGCATTTTTATCTTTAATTGTGGCTTATTCCCAGTTAAATAGCAATTAATAGTGAAGATTAGTAATAGTCTGTCTGTTGATTTTGATTCCATCTTCAGTGTCATTTAAGGCTCTATCGAGAATCGTTTAATTTCGTCGTATATTGTTTATAATTAGAAATACAATAATCATTCAAAATAACGACTATCAAAAAATATTGCAAATAAATTTATATTTTCCAAAACTATTATAGATATTTGTCTTCATATTTACAAACTTATATATTAATAAAAATAAATAATCGAATTTTTTGCAAAATAGGTAAATGCAGCAATTCTGTGAAAGGTTTAACGACACACCCAGTAAAAATTATATACCAGCGTTTGTTCTATTCGGTATTAACTGAAAATGAACGTTTTTAAGTACCCATTGTATCTTAATAAACCAAATATTCAATTAGACCATTGTGTATACAATAGTTTCAGGTATATTGCTATTGAAATGTACGAGTTTGGTTACATAAAACAATTGAATTCAATTTAGTTTGAAAAGGTTACGCAAAAATTCTGTGTGAGATTTTTAAAATAATAACTATTACTGTACGTGAACTTTACAGCTTTCTTTAATGTTTATTTAAAACTAATATTAGTCCGGTCGTCAGAAGCGAAAATGGCACTGAACCTCTAAAAATTGTCAATTTGTCAATTGTCAATGACAAGCTGAATTTTGCTAAGAATGCCAATTTTTTAAGCACAAAAAATATGCAAAATGGTTTGCTTCTCCTATCTCCGGGCTTCCCTCTAAAACCGAAAAACATCGAATTTCCAAAAATTTATACGTCATAAAAAATGTTTTCAACAGAAATATAGCTGAGGTAATTTTATACCAAAATAATTATTCTCACTTTTTATGTAGAATGAACTGGTCTCTCAGAAACAACGATTGAAGCAACCGGCGATTTTGAATGTCAGTTAGTGGCGCCAAATCAAGTTATATCTTTTGATCAGAGTATCCCATCGACAATAGTCAAAATAGATTTTAAAGACGAAAAGTGCAACTTTCGTATGCAATTTTTGTACTTTGTACCAAAGGAAGTTAGTTTATATAAAGCTGATAAGTAAATAAACGTTACCTAATTTTTACCATTATTTACGATTCTTATTAAATTTATCATTTTATCACTTTATTGACTGGCCACTACGAAATTTCCATTCATAGACCCTAATATTCAAAACCTATACCATGCAGTTTTGATTTTTTTGTTTTGGCAACAAATATGAGTCATTTTAATTATGCCTAAAAAATTTTAACTTTTACATCCAAACCATCACAAAACCGTCTAAAACGTTTAAATGGGCTTCTTTTTGATTGCATAAGTTGTAGTATTTGTAAATTCTTTAATATATAAATTCCTTGGTATATATTGGAATCCCCTCGTACTCCTGCAAGAGGCGTGAATGCGATGGATTGTTGGTTTTCGAATTTGACTCGTATAGTCCGAGCGGTTAAATAAAATTGGATTATTCTCAGAAATGGAGTGGGTATGGGAAAAGATGCCGATAGTTTACCATCTAAGCCAGAGGCTGTGTTTTTTCCTCTGCTACATAGTCTTATTATGGTTTCGGAGCGTATTAACGCCACTAATGATGACTGGGCCTTCTTTAAGAATCTCATTGTGCCAAAAAATGTTATACAGATTGAACGAGTTTAAAACGGATCATACAATTTAATATATGTCTGTTTGAACTGCATTTGAAATAGTGGACCAATATAAAACTTGGACAAAAATAAATCCATACCTGGGTAGAGACATTGTATAAAATATCGTTCAACTATCTGTCTCGCAACAATGTTGTTTGCGTAAAGGAAGCGATAATAGTTCAGGAAATGAAGCTCGAAAAAAGTTAAAACTTCACAATTTTTTCGTCCTGCATGCATTGAGTTGAAATTTTAACAGAAGGTAGGTGATAGCCCAAGGATCAGAATCTATATCGAACCGAAGTGCGCTGAAGGGTTTTAGGAGTGAAAACTACCAATAACATATTAAACCTGAATATGGCTAAGATTTGGTTTGAATTAATTAAATAATGATTATTTTATACTTTTCAATAGAGTTCCATCATTTTTCAACCCTTAAAAAGCAACCCTTGTTAGAGATTAATGTAAAAAATTACTAATTCTAAAAAATGATTTCTTTTTGGATCGATTTGGATAAAAATTTGGATTTAAGCTCAATTCACCCACTGCTTTATAGTTTATGTCATGCCTATGAACCCTGATTGTTCTTAGGGGTGAAAACTACCCCTAATTTTCAAAAATTGTAAAATAACATTTTAAATCTTAAGATGAGTGAAATTTGGTTTGGATTAGTTAAATAGTGATTTTTTTATACTTTAAAATACAATTTCATACATTTTCAACCCTTAAAAATCAATTGTTATTAGTGCTATAGGTGAAAACAATTTTTTGCCAAAATTTTGCAAGTTTTCAGCTTTTGAATATCACCCTTTATAACATTGCAGTTTTTATAAACTAATTAAATAGATATAAATTAAAAAAAGTAGAATTAAATCCAAAAAAAATTTATCAACATAAAAAGGCACCATATATTCTTATACATTTACATAAATAGTTAAAAATATTTACATTTATAACAACAACAACAAAAGTTCATCGGGTGCAGGTTGTTTGTTCATGCGTACGGGTAATAACAAACCATCTTTGGAATACCATCCCCAATCTGTTGCTCTGATATTTTCATTGCCAAGCTATAGACATATGAGCAGATGTTTTATTCTGTTGTATGTGATTTCAAAATAAGAACGCTTAAAATTTTGAATGTATAACGCCCCACTACCTAATATATCGGTTTGTAAATTATTATGCTCCGAAATGTACTATACTAATGAAATTTTCCGGAAAAAAATTAATTCGTTCAATCTGTATGTTTCGCTTGGTTTCTATACGGAATCGTTGGCTGAAGTTGGAAATTTCGGGGTTTATAAAGGCAGATTAGAGTGTATCTTTGAAGATTTTAACTTATTTAGTGAATTGCTGATTATTTGATTTTTGTGTTTGAGATATGAGTGATGTTAAGTATTTTATTTAGTAAGGATTTTGACTTTTTTTCAGAATTTACCCCCGTCTTAGTAGCCCAGTCCAATGGTCACCTGTCTTTATTGTTGTTGGCTCAACAAGTTAACCTTTAGTCTGATTACCGCCGATAGTCGGTTATATTCTCTTTTAATAGGAAGGTCTCGTAATCTTTTATACTCTCTTAAAAATCGGTCCTTTGTTTCGCCCTCTCTTTCTTCCTCTCTTTCTTTCTCTGTTTTGATTTCTTCCTTTGTCATTATTTACTCTATCTTTCTGTCCCGTAAAATAAATATTCGCCCTCTATCTTTCTGTCCGACAGACTGTTCTGTTCCGTGTTGACAGACAAGATAGTTTCATGACATCTGTGCTAACTTCAAGCAGTACCACTACTTTCTGTTTCTGTCAGTTAAATGTTCCAATGTAGTGGGAATATAATTTAATGCCTGCTTTTGATTTTTATAAAAGAAGGCAAAAATTATAATTAGACTCATTTTATGATCTACAAATTCTTTTGGGGTAAGTACTTTCATTGTGATATTTATTCTATAATTCTGACCGCATTTCCGATATTTGTAACCTTACTTTCTTTCGAAAGCACATTGTTTTTCTTATATATGCATTAGAACCCTTTAACAGAATTTAACTAACAATCATAGTAACAATCATATTTCATTTTATCCTTGCCATACGCTATTTGTTTAATTGTAACTTTGCAAGATGGCAAGGAAGTTAAACTCCTCTTGATGTGTCTCTAATGTTCCTATTCCTTTTATATTTTAGTTTATTGGGAATATTCACCGTTTTATTAGAAATACTTACATTTTATTGGGCTTTAGACAGCCTTATTGAATTTATTGGTATTATTGACCACATCAGATACAACCACGTGTAATTGCAGTTCTACATAAACCACCTTTAATTGGAGGACCTATCGGCTAGTGCACACAAGTAGCCCATCGAACGAAGCAATAAGTATTACATCAATTGTTAAACTTTGGCAGGGTTAATTATTGTGTTTTTTTATTCTTTTAAATTAATATGTTTGGTTAAAATTTGTCTTATTTGCTATTAACTGAGAACTCAGGTTCAATCCCAATTTTAAGACAAGACGAACTCACCCTTGAGATACTGAACTAGGCAAAGTATAGACGACTCCCATGGTTGATTGAGGTATTATTTTTACAATAGTACTTTAATTCTCTTTGGTAGTCTTATCGCTACAATATAAAGTACCCTATATACAGTGCGTATACCATAAACGGTTTCGACAAGAGCAATATAACGAGAGTTATGAATGAAATAAGAAAATAGGCTCCGAAAAGATAAATCTGTATGACATAAAAAAAGAGTTGCAAATTAGGCTAGTTATTGAGCAGGCCGTGGCTCACCATGCACTGTAGAGCCTGAAAAGAAGAAAAAGAAGCACGTCTAAAATTGTTAAAATTGCGAAAATTATGTTTATTATTTTTTTTGCGTTCTTTTATTTCTTGTGTTATTAGAAGCTAAGCGTCTAATAGAGTTTTAAATAAGATGTATTGCATTACCATGTTAGTATTTATATTTTAATTTCCATTGTAATTACTCCAACTAACACATAGTAAACTGCAAAAGAATTAACGATGATGTTCTCTAATCTAAGATAGCCATTGATTGCGTAAACTTCATTTAGAAATTTATTTTAACTCTTTATTCAACCACAGTATAATTCGTGCTTATTAAAGTAAATATTTGTTTAATTTTAGTTATAAGATTTCGTAACAATATTAGTCACGACTGGTACACGAACAGATCAAGTAATAAATCCACGGAAATCTGACCAATAATGACACAATTAAATAATTTTTCCATCGCGTATTCTTTGATTAGTTCTTTGACAATCAAAATCATGAACATGACCTTAAATTATCGAGTACCGAAGGTAAAAATTTATTTACGAATTCGTTTGTTAAGTGTGTTAAAAATATGTACTTTAAACGTACAAGTCATGTTATGAGTAAAATATTAAGTCCTTCATAAAACCCAAATATAAACACAAGTTACTAAAAAGGATGATATTTCAAATATATTAGACAAAAAATTACAAGAAAGCTTACAATACTTTTCTTTTTCTACTGTAAACATTCATAAAAACCTCAAGTATGCTTGGAAAAGTCGTTCTAGGAGTTTCGCTACTTCATTTTACGTTTTATCGAGAGGGGCGGCACCGTTTGTAAGTGTGATATTATTTGGTCAACAGTTAATATCGGTCTTAAGGCCCGTTTTCACGCTACGTCTTATTGTACGTTTTGTCGTAGAAGACAAAGTCTGAAGACTTGATGGTCTGGTTGCAGTCCACCGAGTGAAGACCACCTATTTGAATTTTACTCTGAATATACACTTTTATCATACATAGCTACAGCAACAAAGAATGTGTTACTTTTGTCCACTATGCATCACAATGATTATCTATAAGTGTGCTGGTGGTATCCAAAAGTGACCTGAACCCTAGGAAAATTGATTATCTAGGCCCTAGATGCAAGGGTAGATGCAAGGTGAAAAACTTTAAAAACTGATAAGAAATAGAAGAGTACAATGAAACGATCATATTAGCCGAATGACAACAAATAGAGTAGTAAAGACGGCAAGAGAAGGTTCCCCAATAGGAAGACAATCAGTATGAAGACCACGAGAACGATGGAATGACAATTTACTGGAGGCACATTGAAAAACAGACAGAGTCATGTCTATATAAAAAGAAGAAGAAGAAAAAGTACACAATCATTTATTTAATTGGTATTTAGTGCACAAATTATGCATCTTTTAAATTTATGGGCTTATAAGGTAAATATTACCTTTTATTTGGTATGGTAAGGTTTTGAATTATTGAAACAAATTTAAACTTAAATATATTACTTACCAAAAGTACAGTTATCATCATCAACAGCTGGCAAAGTTCTCATATATTCCTTACAATTTTTTTCACCTATATTCCCGTAGCATTCTTGATGTACTTGACTATTATTACCACAGCAATATTGACTTCTAACGTTGCCTGTACTGGCAAGATCGTGGAGAAGGAGCTCACTCCAAGCTCCCAATAGAGCTGTGACTGAATCATGCTTACTAATCGTCTTTTTTTGAATGACTGCTGTAACGTCAACTGGGCTGGGAAGATTGAAATTTTTTGATGACTTCTTAGGAAGTAGTTTGCCTGAAAATTAATAAGATAATTATAGTTTTTTTTTAATTTAGACGCTTGTTTAAAATTGGTTCTTTGTCAGAAAAAGGTGAAAACTCGAAAAACATATTTTGGATAATTATAAATTCATGTATAATCACGCTATAGTATTTTATAATGTACAATAATTTGATCTTAATAAAAAAAATCTTTTACTTAAAAAATAATTGGATTTTGCTAACGACGATTAAAGAGAGTACTACTAGGTTGGTTAATAAAACTGCTGCCAAACGAATTTAAATAAACATTACAATTAAAAATATTTTGATCTAAAAGTGACAAAACTTTCTAACCATGCGGATCTGGTTTAGGTCCTTTGAAAGATACTCTAACCGATCCTATTATACTTTCTTATAAGGAAATTTCCAAATTCCCAGTCAGTATAGTACAAGAACATGGTGACGGTAAGGTTGTTGGAATATTATCAAACGTTCCTGTCGTATGTTCAAAAGAACGATTCCATGCTTACGAGGCTACCCCTTATGGAATTATGCCATGCATACTAGAATAATAAAATTACTGGGATACTCAAATTTGATCTTACCAAATGCTGCTGGAGGTATAAATCAAGATCAGAGATATAAGATAGTAGCATAGAAAAGTGGTAAGATAGGTTAAAAAAAATTGTAAACCAATTGTGATTGTGAATTTAACTGTAAGTAAAATATTTTAATTTTAAGATTGGTTCGTCGTTAATATTAGAACAATTGGTTAGACTGCAAGAATAAAGCACAGTAAAATTGTTTATTAAATAAATACTAGTCAAATTTTAACCAAATTGCTGACACTAAGGAATATATTTTGAAAATAATTTTGTCTTTCGTCTAAAATGTTTAACTTTACTAGAAATAATGTTAGACACTGTACTCTACTTACCGTCTGCATAATCAGGTGGCAGTAATCTTAACAACTTCTGTCCTCTAGTGCCCCATGTAGGATGCCTGACGTTATTACATCTTCCTGAAGGTTCTCGAAACTTCATGGCTGGACATGTGATTTTTTCTTTTTCTTGGCAGCTATTTGCAGATTTTGCTTTTTCCAGTACAAGTGCATTTTGAACAGTTTTTTGAATATCGTTTGGTAGGAATTCTGTGTATTTAGTAATATTGGAGTCAGTATTTTGAGTATTGCCGATTACTAGGAACAGTGTGACGACTAGAATAATAGCCAATATCTTTAACCTGAAAACAAAAAAAAGAATATTATAATAGGTCACTTACTCTTAGACATCGGTATAAACAAATAATCGAATCTTTTTCAGGTAAGCAGTTAATAAAGTTGTGCAAGACAATATAACTGATAACATCCAAAGCAAATACAGTAATTCAAAAAGAAGAAAGATGTTACATAACAGGTTACGAAAATCTACCAGGGATGAAAACTTTTCAAGAAGTCAACACAAACCATAACGTAAATATTAAAAAATGAATTATTAAATCAATATACGATGACACCTGCCCTAATAAAACTACATCCCAAGCAGAAAAAAAATCTGTTAACAGAGATCTGAAGATCTTGACAAAAAGTGACTAACAAGCAATCGCAAAATATTTTATACAATATAATAAGTACGTATTACAATTAAATAAAAATAAAGTTGTATGGTACATAATATAGTCATTTATAACCAAGGAAGTTCACAAAATTGAAAAAAGGGTACAGAAAAACACTACATCAATCCAGAAACACTCACAAAAAGGGATTCAAAGATGACAACAATACCTTATGTAAAGGATTTTTAACAGCAACAATAATAATAATAGGAAATACGTCCAGATTCAAACCCAATAACACACAAAAAAGATCAAAGAACTGCATCTATGCAAAAGAGAAAAATCAAACAAGCAGCTCTCATGCTCATCCAGAATAGTTTTGTTGAGGTCTTTCTACACCATGCTCTCAGGTTGGATATTCTTCTTCGTCCTGGGGTCCTTTTTTTTTAATTTTATCTTGCAAAATTCATTGGAATAGCTCATATCTGCCTTAATTTCTCATTATATGGTCTAAGTACTAAAGCTTACAGTCCTTCACGATGTTGACCAAATCCGCGGTTGTGTTCATCCTCCATAGTACTTCTTCATTGGTAACTTTGTCTGTCCATGGTATTTTCAGGATCTTTTTGTATAACCTTATATTACCGTATAACCAGAAATGTACACGTTTCTACTCCGTACAGAACCACTGAGTATATGCAGCATTTATGGAGCCTTATTTTTATGTCTAGGGTGAGGTCATTGCTTTTTAACACAGAGCTTATAGTAAAGAATGCACTTTTGCCTTTCTCATGCGTTATTTATTCTCTTGGTTATTGTCCCACGACTTATTGATTATATTCTCAACTAAATGTACTGTGAGACACGTTTAATTCTCACCACATACAGATTTGCTCCAATTGTATTTTTCTTGCTGAGGATCATTAGCTTGATTTTGCTCTTGGTTATATCCAGTCCAAATATTCTACTTGTTTCCGTTATTTTGTTCATTAGGTTTTGCAGTCTTTCTATGGTAATGAAAAAAAAAACTATTAAATCATCTGCATACCGCAGGGTATTAAGCTTGACTCCATTTATTGAGATGCCTTCATCACTATCCTTTAGAGCCTCTTCAAAAAATGTACTCCGAGTACAGATTGAATATCAGTGGTAAAGTTATGCACCCCTGTTTCACTTTCCTTAAGATTTTTACCTCATCTGTATATTCTTCATCTATTTGAAGTACCGCTGATTGATTCCAATATAGGTTAGCTATTATTTTTAGGTCTCTTTCGTCAATTCCTGTCCTTGTCAGCACTAAAAGATGCGTAACTTCATCAAAAGCTTTTTTGTAGTCAATCAGGCATGAAAAAACATCACAGCTGACATCTTTACATTTCTAAAATAATATCTGCACGCTAAATAAAGCTTCGCTCGTACCAACGGCGTTTACAATTTCAAACTAATTGGATTTATCAACAGAACATAATTCATTAGATGGTTCATTAGGTTTATGGTCCTACAGTCCCCACAAACTGTTGTTCCTGGTTTTTTGGACAATGGTACGAACTTCAATTTGAGCCACTCTACTGATATTTTTTCTGCCTTGTATATTTCGTTCAATATTTCAGTTATTATTTTTATTTGATCTGCATCTTAGAGCTTCAGTAATTTTGCAGGAATTTTATCAAGTCTCGGTGTCCTTCCATCCTTCACTTGTCTGACGGCTGCCGTTACTTCTTCTGGCAGCATTTCGAGACCTGAATTTTTTTCAATGGTGGGTTCTTGTATTGTTTTAAAGTCGTAGAAAAGTTTCTTTAAGTTTTCTTTCCATACTTTCTTTTTATCTTCTTCAGTTATGGCAAGACTGCCTTTATCATCTGTTATCTTTCTGCTGTAGCCTATTTCCTTTACCTTTGATGGACATTAAAGTTATCATATCGACTCCGATATTTATTTATTTCCTGACATTCTTCTGTTTTTTGTTTCTCTTTGACTTATCTTTCTTCTGACGATGGTATGTATTCTCTTATATTCTTGAAAATTTTTTAAATTTTTTTTCTCTGATCCCCAAGTTTAAGTATTTCATCGGTCATCCGCGATTGCGGTTTATCTATATCTTCCTTCAGGTGTTGTTCCTTTATATCTCTCACTGTTTTTTATATTTCTACATTTCTTAATTTTAGCATCTTTGTATTGAAGTTTTCACCCACCTTTAGTCGAACATTGGGATCTTTTAGTTTTCTAACATCATACTATCGACTTACCCTTCTTCATTTTGACTTTGAAATTACCTACAACTGGCCCCGGGTATGTTTGACAGACATACAGCTGTTCCTAGACCTCTTATTTACTAGAATGTAATCAATCTGATTTTTTACAATACTTCCGACAGAATTTTGTGAAGATTTCCAGGTGTGCAATTTTCTTGGATGTAGCCTAACACAATGCATGCTAATCACGCCTATGAGCAACAAAATATCGCTTCAGTCAAATGCTGATGACGCACATGTGAGTTTTTAAGATGCCTATGTTTTATAATGTGTAGCATAAATACCCTTGTCTATAAAAGTGAGAGTCATGCGTTAAAAAAGATATAATTTAGCCAAAACCTTATACAAGCCAACAACATTTAGCCAACAAGAAAATAATCACAGTTATAACTATGTTTAAAAAAAATACTATCAGCATATCTTAAGGCTTTAAGCATACAACGTGTTAAACCAGGTGTTTGTTATTACTAACTGATTTGCTTCCGCAAAAATCTCCATCGTATCTCGCCGATATTTTTGGTTTCCTAGTCCAAATGGTCCAATTGCAGATGATGTTTTGTTGGCTCCAATTTTGGCGCTAAACTCACCCAAGACAATTTCACGACTTTATTAATGCTATGGTATAGTTCTTCTAACTCTGTGTTTGTTCCATTCACAGAATTAAGGGGTAAGATCTAGCGACTTGACGGCAACTCAATAATACTCCTTCGTCCAATTCGTTTATTGAAGAAGATTTCAAAAGAAAGCTTCGCCTTGAAAAACTTGACCGTCTGCGCACTCGGTGTTCCACATTATCAAGTATAACCTCCAATATAGGGTGTACAGATATATTTGACTGCACATAACACGTGATAAATTATTAATTTCAAAATTTCACGTTGTATTATTTATTATAGACCCTCTATGATATAGTTCATTGAAATCAGGTTGTTGAGAATCTTTTAAAAACATAAAAATATACAGGGTATTTCATTAAAAATAAGGATTATGGACTATGCTAAACTTGCGTGGATTACCCTGTACATTTAAATTTACATTTAAAAGCGCACATTTAAATTTAAAAGTTAAGGTGTCCCAGAGTTTTTATTATTTTCGATAATAAGGACACAAACAATTTTATTCCATAAGAGGTTTCCACACTGTATAAACTAAAAATACTATTTCGTTACGTGTGTGACATTTTTTATATTAAAATGAAAATCGTAATATTCTATAGGAAGTTATTAATCATAGTCCTTACAATTTCCTTGTAGCGTAATAAGACGGCGACTAATGTACACAGACAATTGCATATTGTGCTATAAATATTTGGTGTGAAAAAATCTAATCGTGCTTTAATGGTTTCTCCGTGAAGAAGTAATGAAGCAAATTACCCGTTCCTCTTTGTATAAATAAAATTTCTTTCGAAAAAGTAAAACGCTAATATTGCTGCGAGTATTACTAGAGTGGATGATATATATCAAAGATCGTGTTATGTAAAAGATGCAAGATTGTAGTCGAGATTTCCAGATGGTTTACCCATTAAATTAGACTGCCAATACAATTAAGTAATTTTCACGTTTTAAGTACTTTCTAATTGCGTTGCTGTTACTGGATATTATAAAATTATCGATATATTATAAATGCCCTTTTTTATTGTTGTTTTGCATTTCTACAATCTACTCTGTAGACAGAGTAATAAGTAAGTAGTACTATGTGAGTAAATTAACCTGAGTTAAGTACCGTCCAGTGACGGTTTTCTAAATAATATTGCGGTAGGTCTTCTGGCCGTATTCTCTTTAATCTTCTTTCGGCAAATGGTTGGGTGAATAAATTATTTTTAGTACAGTTTTAACACTGATAATAGCTTATTAAGTAATAAGATGTCCAGATCATTGTAAAGTGTTTGGTTAGATACATACTGTCGTACCGGACTAAGTGGTATGCTGGATAAATGATTGCAAATACCACTTCCGTACGCTCTGTTGTTTGATTTCGTCCTGAAAAGGACGAAATCTATTTATTATACATCGACAATAGGTAACAAGGTTGAATAAAAACACAAAGGTTGCAGTAGAAAGAGAGGCTCAGCCTCAGAGTCTGAGAAAACTGGAGCATGGCCCCTAGAGCGAAGTGCTCTAAGAGAGCCCATGAAGGGCCGACTTCGACTGACTTGAGATCGGAAATATCCCATATTTAAAGACAATTTAATACTTATATGGGATTTTCGGACCTCTCGTCCAATAAAACATGAATAAAGTATGAGAAGGCGGGCGATGCGCGTCAAGGTGCGTATTAGTTGGTCACTATATGCACCAGGGCGACAATACCAGGGAGCTTTACTTATTATATGGAGTATTTTGGATTAGAAAGTCTAATCCAAAATATGCAGAGTTGCCGATTTGTACATAATTATCAGATTTTAACATAATTTTTATGGCGTTCTGATAATAAATA